AATCCGCTACGAAAAATGTTCGCTATAAGTATTATTTAAGCGATTTTGAGTCAATTAAGTTAAGGATAAGTTAAATATAGCATTAGAACTTCTTCTGGCTCAATTGGAAGCCAAAATCAGAGTAAAAATTCTGCTAAAATACTGAAAATAGTAATCGATATTTTTGACTTTTGTGATCGAGACAAGAAAGTGAAAACGCAGCGGACCAAAAATATCTTTGATGCCATTTTGTAGAGCTCGACGAGTACTATAAATGGGAGAAAAAGAAAAAAATTCGACTGAACACTTTTTGTGCTGGGAGGCCTGAAAGTTAGACATTTTGAAAAATGGGCGTTCAAACATAGGCTTCTTACTCAAAGACGGAGATTGATATCGACATTATCCTTTTTTTCATTGGATTAAGCAGCTCTTTAGCTTCATTTTTATCTATAGTGTAAGAAGTTTTTGTTGTGGAATCAGATAAGTTCACAACATTTCTTAGTTATGCTGGGTTAAGATACGCTAGGACTAAATGCTAGGAGTGAGGTAAAAAATTATAAGTTTAATTTAGGACGCCACTTTACGATGTGATATTAAGTGAAAAGAAAAAATCACCGCAACAATTAACATGAAGCCATATTAATCAATAAAACCGAGTAATGAGCGAGACAGGTCAGCGTAGTTAATTCTAGATGATCCATTTAGGCCGATTTCGGGAAGTTGGAGTTTCAGAAAACTTCTCAGTTTTCTATCGACTCAGAGTCTGAGTTATTGTCTGTATGTAACAGCGAGTAGTTTGTTTTATGTTGCCTGGGGGTCTTTAGAGGGTTTGTAGAGAAGTTTCGGTGTTGTAACAATAATACGAGACGTGTAAGTTTCTAGATGCAGGTTTCACTGTTAATCTTTTGACTTTAACTAGGTAAGAACCCCGAAGCACTGAACATTGGTTGGACTGAATGAAAAATTTTGTCAATATATTGAAGTAGGACAGAAAATAAAATATTCAGACAGATGAAGTGAACTACTGGAGAAGAGATCAAAAAATCTTTTCAGAGTTTCTGGTGTAGTAGTAGTAAGAGACAGGTATCGTTGTTTTCGATATCAGGAAGGACATTATACACGGATAACGGAACGTTCAGAATACAGATGATTATTGTGAAGAGTGTATTAGAGGTATATTCTTGCTGTGGATACGAGGAAGAGATCTGCAGAAACTAGTTTAGATTCATATGACATTATGCACGTTTTACAGTAGGCTTCTCTTGAGTTTTATTTCAAAATCAGGAAAGGGCGAGCGTAATGCATTGTTAATGTATAATTTGATTTAATAATGTATTAATTTATGATTAACATGTTATTAGTGTATACCACAGCTGTGCACAGGGCACTTATTCTCGATCTGTTCTGCTATCCTGCCCTGTGCGGTCCTATCCTGCCTAAAAGAGTGACTCATAAAAAAATTTCTTTCTGTGCTGCAGGATAAATACCAGATGTTTATCTTTTTCTTGACAAAGTTAAAAAAACACACCTTTCTTATTTCAAATCTTATCGACTTAATTTTATTCTTTTCATGAAGAAACAAACACTGTTTTTCCATAACAACAACAGCACGAAGGCACAGAGAAGAACAAGCAGGAGGCTATTTCTCAGAAAAACTTCAGCTTTGCTTAAGTGAAAAATTTGACTTAACTAAGATATTTTTGCTACGTGAGTTTCGCGAAAACATCTTAACTTAAGAGACCTCTTCACCACCCCTAACGTTTCACTTAATTTTTTAAGTGAAAAATTATTTATACTTTGTAACTTTTTTGTTTTACATTTTTTTATAGTCAGATCCTCAATAATTAGATGGAAAATAATTTTAGGAGGATTTGTTCACAAAATTTCATAAAAGTAATCCAAATTTCTTAGAATATGAGTGGTTTTAGAGCTTTTTGAGAAACGCGCTCAATGAGAAGTCTAGGTGTCCCTTAAGTACTGCTTAATTTTTCCCTTAAAAAGCCACTTAAGTGAAATACTTAAGCTTTTTTGAGAAACAAGCTGCACTAACTAGCATTCTACTCCATCAACACTGATGTAATAGTTGACAATTAACGCTCATGTTTAATTCTAATAAAGAAAAGTACCGAAAAATTAAAAAAAAAAAGTCTCAAATGTAATTGAACGGCTTATTTACAAATATAGTACACGGGTTACTGCTGACCAATGTCAGGGTATTTATTTATGTATAGCGGTGGGAGAATTTTCGAAGCATAGAAGCAGCGGACCCGGTCGATTAGACTAGATCGTTGCCGATTGTCAATTTTCACTACTACGTCGACTTTCGCGAGTTTTGGACAAAACTAAATACCGCCAAAAAAAAGAACGGAAAAAGTTAAAAAATGGAACATTTCAGTTCATATCTCTTCTTGGTTTCCTTCTCTAATGCGTCGAGTCGATTTAATTCTCGCAGCTGCTGTTCATTCGGTTTGATTTGTATGTTCTTAATGTGAAATTTTCTTAAAATAATTAAATGTTTCAATTCCTTCACTCACGATAGCGGTACGTAGGCTTGTGCAACGGAAGGTTTGGATGGTCTCGGAGGAAAGACAAGATCGATAACGATTTTGGGCATCGTTTGTCATCGTTTGTCCTTGACTTTTGTGGGTGGTCATAGCATACGTGGACACGAGTGGTAGTTGTGTTCTTTTAATTGTAAGGTTGTGACTTTTCAGTTTTTTCCACCTTGTTTTAATTCATGTTTATGTTTCTCCAGGAAATCCTTGATATTCAGCATGAATTTTTGTGTTACAAGAGGAATTGGTATGAGTTTCGGAGGAAGTGTATCAAACAGTTTGTCTGTTCTTGAATTCTCTATTTCTACTAGCGCATACAATGGTTTTTGGATGAAGATGGATTGTATTGGAAACTTTGTTGTATCCAGGTTGCTGAGATTGTTATGCGCTTGCTTATAGACTAATTCGCGAAATACTGCCATTGTACCATTACATAATTTTAATTCTGTAGCTATGTTTTGCGTCAATAGAACATGCATGCCCGGAACTAACGGTAAGTATCCAGGTAGCCATTTTGTTTTATTATCTGGTGATTCCAGGAGGTATTTGTGAAAATCCGGATTGTCGATGTTAATTTTGAATTCGTCTTGAGCAATGCATACCAACGGCTTAACATCCTTTCAAATGCTTCGGACGCGGTAGCTAGAATGTTCAATTCAGTTCGTAATTCATTTCTGAAGACGAGGATCGGTGCTTTTTTCCATTCATCTGTATCGAGAGATTTCACATCGTGATTTGGGTCTATAACTCGTGTCGTCAGTAATTCATGATCATCAACTGTACATTCGCCTTTCCGAAGACGTTGAAGAAGTTGCAGATATCTTGAGTCACTTGTTCTCATCTGCTTTTCTAACTTTACTACAGTGTTTATTTGTTCCCACAGTGCTCGTCCAGATGCACATGTAGCAACACGTGTCTCTTTGATTTTCTTCTTCTGTGTTTTATCGGAAATAATGTCGGAATACAATGATTGGTCTCCCACAGGATCGTACTGGATGAAATCTCCAAAGAATATGACGTTAATGTCTCCAAATGGTATGCTTGGACTGTAGTGCTTGGCTAGCGTCAACAAACCACCCAGTTGTCCTAATAAGTAAACACCCACCATTGACATCTCATCAATGATTATATATCGAACACGTCGCCATTCCTTTTCGATCGTTGTTCGTTGAACTGCGCTTATCGTTTTTAGATTTCTATATGATGTGAAAGAGTGAATTGTGAGGCCGTCAATCTGGGCTGCAGCATTCGATGTTGGTGCTAGTTTTCGTAGTTCATGACTGCGTTTTGTTATTGAAAAATATTCTGTAATTGCATGAATTAGTTGAGATTTTCTTGTGCCACCCGGACCAGGTACACACATTAATAACTGATCTTGTTTATTGTCTGAAGTACAAGATGAGACAAATAGTTAAGATGAGAAACAGCAAGGTTAAATGTTACCTTTTTTCAAGCGGTTGTCTCCATTGATATGATCGGTAATGATCATAAACGCGCGAGTTTGAGCTTCGTTCAGCGTGAATTGTTTGGATATTCGTTCTTGGTGTTTCCGAAACGACACGGCTGTGATGCTTGTCACTTGTTCGGTTAGTGATTGAATATTACTTTCGTCGTCTAGGTCTACCACGTTCCGATTTACATTCGGCGCTTCTGCAAAATTTTGGTCTTCATGCTCTCCTTCTTCACCGTTTAGCATTTTCTCTCCGGCCTTTTGTTTTGCCTTATTCAGTTGTTTCTTCCAGATCTTGTTCAGTCGAATGTGACTAGTTGTGGCTTCTTTGTTGTATGAATCCGTATTTATAATGAAATTCGTCTGATTAGCCGTCGTTGCTGCTGACAAATGAGGGATTGTGCTTTGATTTTCTATAAAAGAAAACAAAAAATATTTCATTGTTCTATGTGCATGACACGACGTACTTATCGAATGTGAAAATCTACCAGTTTGTTTAATCGAAAGAATTGCGTCGCGAATATACGCATCATTTGGCTTCATTGTTTGTGCATCTAAGTCAGATAACTCACTCGTCATATCGTGATCAGCGTTGAATTCCAGTAGTGCAACGAGATCTTTTGAGTCATCCATCTCACTTAGGTCGTCTCGAGCAAAATTTTTCGGTATATAGACCGAGTCGATGTTGTCATCCGCTGCTTTTGTTTGCTCAATAACTTGAATTAAATGCTCGTCCCGATCTTTTCTACACGCATGTAGTAGCTGAATATTGTCAATTATTGTTTTTGATGATGGCAGGAAAAAGCTAGCGTTTAGTCTTAATGACTGGTCCCACGTAATATCAGCTTGGCATAAGTCATCCACACTTCTCTAGGGCAAAAACAATGTCAAAATGGCACGAGCATACCGTTCTCTCGTGTCTTCTCGATCTTTTCGAGGGATCTGAGGTCCAATCAAAACGGGTACAACAGTATCTGTACGCTGAATCAAGATGTGAGATTCGTACTGCGGATGATTTTCTTTGAATTTCAGCCTTTGATTTGGTTGTGGGCCACGTCTTTTGATTTGAGGTCCAGATTGTTTGCTTTCTGCTTGATTGTCGAAATATGTTTTATCCATTTTATCAACTTTTTTCTTATGGTACATACGAACAAAATCGTATAAACACGTATTGACTATTTCACTGGGACGATATTGGTAATCAATTCGGATGTTAACTAACGCATAGTTGTTCGGAATGTTGGTCTGTCCTATTGAAAACTGTTCATTAAGATCATTCGTTTCCACTTCTTCCACATTTAGGTTTTCTTCCGTGTATGGCACGTCCATTGTTGTACCTATAAAGAATCATCTTTGTAAAATATTTATTTTATTAAGAAAGATAACTGCTTACTGTTTGCGGTTGTAACTTCAGAATTCTGTTTTTCGTGCAAGGATTTTTCTAAATAACTTTCAATACCGATCAGGAATAAGTTTTCAAATTTGTGAGATGTATAATGATCGGGCCAGTTCATGAGATACGACGCCACTTGAACTCCAGATAGTTTCTGTTGTGATGCTATTGTATTATAGCATCGCAACACTAATTTGCGAGATCGTTCATGGTCGCGTCCGATGCTGTATGCTTGTCGATCGATTCCATGACTTTATGAACCAATGAAAAGGTATCGTGGAACGATAAACTGGTTTTAGTGACGTAATCTGTAATGTAATAGACTAATGCCTTCGCATCCGAACCACTCCATATGAACTTTATGTCCATATTTGAACGACAAGCAACGATTATAAATTCATTGAAATTATTTATAGTTTCATGATTGCGTTCCATTTTGACTTGTCCAGTTTCAGCATTTATCGTTGTTTCTGGTACTAACGCTCTGGGCATGCGCAAACGACATA